GATTTTCCATTTTCTCTTGATTTCAAGTTTGACATTGAGTTGGTTGTGCAGTTGTGCAAGTTGAATTTCTCGTAATTGAAAGTGAAGGTAAAGGTACAAGCATACAATTAGAGTCATGGGTGGGGATAACAAGAGGTCTAAGGCATCATCTCCATCAAGACCCCCAAGGGGCAAGAAGCAAGGTGCTTCTTCTAGTCAAGGTGAGGCACCTCCATTGCCTCGAGGGGATGGATTCATGGGTATGCGGTTGAATTCCAAGGAGAAGGGGATATGGACTAAGCTTCAACAACCACGACGAACGGTGCAATGCACCAAGTTTTTTGACTTAGAAGCTTTGCAAGAGCTAGACATGGAGGAAGTAGTGCGGCTCTTGCTACGGAAAGTGGGTCTGGAGAATTTCATGACCAAATGCGCCCCCACCTATGTCAGGTATACCTATGAATTCCTTTCAACTCTTACTAAAGGACGTGATCAAATATCCTTTAATTTGAATAATAGGAATTATGTTGTGTCTTATGATGATATGCGAATGGCATTTGGTTGGGATGCACCCCCATTGGTGAACCATTGGGGTGATTATAGCACGTACTCATCCCGAACATTTTGGAGGGCTATAACTGGTTGTGAAGTTGACCCTCATGGTGATCATAGCTTCAAGATCACTCACCCATGCCTTAGACTCGTGCATAGGTTTATTTCGTCCACTATTCTATGTCAAGGGGAAGCCACTAAGGTTCCCAAAATTACATTGTCTTATTTGTGGGCGATGACCCCGGAGGGTGTCGGTACTCCCAATTGGGTCGAGATTTTTGTTGACAGTTGTGTAAAGGTGCGGTCAAACTCCAGTGGCCACATTAGCATGGGTGGCATGGTCTCTTTGCTTGCTTGTTATTTGAATGTTCCACCCCCTGAGGATCTTGTGTCAGTAGATTCGGCATACTTAACGTATAACATCATGACTCTGGTCAAGATCGGTCTATTATCGCGTTCCCTCGTCGCCGGTAGTTATTTCTGGCGATACGGACCACAGGGTTTGAACTATTTGAGAATTCCTCGTCCCGAGGGACGAGCATTACCTTTTGGCCCTGCTGCCGCAGACTTTTTCCTTGCGCCCGACCCGGATGTTGCCCCCTATTTGGGAGATGCCGAAGTAATAATTGAGAACATGGGAGAGAAGAATCCCGATGTTCATATGGGCGGAGAGTTTGTTGATGAGGAAGGGGGTGAGGATGCTGCTGGAGTGCAGCACGATGATTGGCCTCACTGGAGGGCTGATGTAGATGATAGACTAGAGGAGGTGTGCGATGGGATGCAAGAGCTGCTTGCATATCAGAGAAGCATGAGTCGGTTTTATACCGCTCAATATCCACAGTATGAGCCCCCAACTGAGGCGTTCATGGATCACCTGGCATCCCGTGCTTTGCGTCGTTCCGAGAGGCGTGCTTCTCGGGGTGATGCCGGCTCTTCTAGCTCTGGAGGTCCCTCTCATTGAGATGGTAACGATTTTCTTCCTTTTCCCTTACTTTTGGTTTCATTGTAGTTGTTCTTGCATCGAGGACAATGCCTCATTTAAGTAGGGGGGGGGGAAGCTTTTCATTGCATATTTTTGAAATTTTGTATAGTTATCTTGATTTCATGTTTTGTATAACTATCTTAATTGTGGTTCAATGAAAAACAAAATGCAAAAAGAAAAAGAAAAAAGAAAAAAAAATTAAAAAAAAAAGAAAGAAAAAGAAAAAGAAACCCGCTAAGCCGAAAACCTGAAAAGGCGGCTTAGGCAAAAATGGGGGCCCGGTTAGGTTGAAAACCCGAAAGGGCGACCTAAGCAAAAAAGTGGCTAATGAGTGGGTGAGAAAGTGAGATTTGGAAAAAGATGAGAGGCTAGGATGAAAACCCGAAAGGGCTCCTAGGCAAAATGAGAGAAGAGAGAGAAAAATTCGTGAATTTGCGCATCTATTTGCCGGAGTCGGTGTCATAAGGGGAGGAGAAATATGGAGGTGTCGGGTAGGTCTCATCTTGATGTTTTCGGGAGATAGTTGAAGTTCGGGAGAAGTGTTGATCATGCTTATAAAGCTAGAGTTATTTTTCTTGACTTTTGAGTGTGGAAGTGTTTTTTTTTTTTTTTGTGGACTTTTGGTTTAGTTGAGTCTTGTTTGCCCAATTTTATCAAAAGTTTCGTGTGGTAGGATAGTTGAGAATATATATGCTCTTGGCTATGTGCTTGTTTTTCTAGGTTGGTTTTGGGGGATGAGTTGAATATAAAAAAAAATGAAAAAGGGAGTTTGTGAAGTGAGAAGGCGGTTAGTTGGTGGTTGCTAGGATGTCTTCTTGAGTTTGAATGCGTAGAGCTTGTTCGGTTCCGCCATCTTCTGTTTTGAACCTTAATGGGGAGATGTGTTCTATTCTCTAAGTTTACTCGAGGGCGAGTAAAGGTTCAAGTATGGGGGAATTTGATAAGCCGTCTTATCAAGGGTTGAGAGAAGAATTTTAGGGTGTGTTTTGATGTTGTGCATGAGTTTTTAATAGCTTTTGTGAGTTTCGGGCGGTGATCTCACTTGTGTGCAAAAGCCGGGATTTATAGGTGTTAGTGAGTGAGTTCGGGAACTAAGGAGGAGGATTATAGAGTATGGACCTTAGCTCGTGATTTGAGAAGCGTGATGGAGCTTGGAAGAGAAAGGGAGAAAGCTTGAGTAAAGGTGAAGCAAAGCTAGAAGAAAGAGCAAAGAAGACAGCAGAAGACAGCAGAACCGCTGCCAGGGCCGCTGTCAGCTGGCCAGAGCCGCTGGCAGCGGGTCAGCCAGAGAGGACGAAGTGTTTTGCTGCTTTAGCCGCTGCCAGCGGGTCCCGAGCAGCTGGCAGCGGGTCTTCCAGATTTTGGGGCCTGTTTTGGTTATTTTTCAGCAGTTTGCTTTGTCTTGGCTCGTGTTTTGTATTTATTTATTATTTTTATTATTGTTTTATGTTATTTAAGTATGGAAACATATATATAGTCGATTTTTATGAAGAGTTAGAGGAGATTAATTAGTGAGAATTAAGTTAGAGAGAAGTAAAAGTTTTCTAGGGTTCTTGGCAAATTTCAGAAATCTTTGTTTTTGAATTAGAATCCATGGAAGCTTAATCTTCCGGATTCTTGGTTAAAGATTCAAGCTTTTGGCTACGAATTGTGAGACTTCTCTTCTCTTTATTATCTATTGAATGTTTATTATTCCTTTGAATTATTTCATGATTTGCTTTAATCAATTGCTAGGTTAGAATTGTTAGATTCGCTTGCATCTAATTAATCTTTCCAAAGTAGCAACTTTGGGTTATGAATGCATGCTTTTGATTGATAACTTAAAGAGGGAATAATATTATTGAAGAAATTAGACCGCTTGTGTTAATTTATTCAATCCTTGTTGATTTCTCCGTTTATGTTCTTCTTGTGGATGATTTAGAGCGCTTGTCTTAAATTATACATTAGAAAGGGTTAGAAAGGAGCGCTTTGCTATTTCTAACTAGCTTATGAGAATTTAGAATTTAGAATTCTACAACAAGGTGTTCAATAGTGTTTGATTGAAGAGGCTTCTATGATCAATTTGTATGTTCAATTGTGGATTTCGCATAACCAAGACCGTTATTCTCATTGATTGCATACTATTTACGTTCATTGTTCTGATTTAGTTTAATTGTCACCATTGCTTGTCAAAACCCCCTTGTTACTTAGATTACTACGTTCCTAGAGTAATTCCACTTAGGTTTGCAGTTATTAGTCCCTTTTTCCCTGTGGATTCGAACTCGACTCCCCTAACTACGTTTATTTGCAGTTAGCTTAGTTGTGATATTTTTGGTTGCATACGACTGAGGCACACCAGTACCTGACAGCAAAATAAGCGGAAAGATGCGCACCTGCTGCTCTCGGATGGTCGCATCATCCTCAAAAGATGCCGCCAGAGTCGACTGGCGAACACACTTGGTGCTGAACTGTGATGACTCCACCTCAGCACGAGCCCGAACAGCAATCGAACCCGGCGGCTCATCAACCTTAGGAGAGTAGACGATGATGTTGTTGTCAAATGGCAGCGTAGTAGAACTGAACTCCAGTCCCGAGATGAGACTAAAGTCGGCTGGGATGACCATTATCTCACCCTAAGGAAAGTGAAAAGTGTTGGTGGTGTCCCAAAAGAACTCCACCAGAGCACGAACCACGCAGTGACCTCCGTCAAAAGAGCTCATGGGCTGCGTTGCCTCAAACAGAGCAGTCAGCCCACGAGACTTCCAAAGAAGTCTCAAATCCCCATCGACGCTGAAGAACGTCCTATACAACTTTCCCAGAGTGTCGTTGCCCGAGCCATGGAAACGTGTCCTGCCAGCGGTGATCCCACGACGCACCCTCTCAGAAATGTGGTGGTCGGGGGCATAGTAAAAGGTCCGCTTATCCCACTCAGGGAGGGGACCAAGCGAAGTGGACGGGTCGGCGTCCTCCTCAACGGGCTCAAGCTCCCGTCGCGTATCTCAGGACCGTGAACCCGAACCTCGCTATCTAGCCATACTACATTATGCAAAATTGAAATAAATTAAGGTTCTATAGTATCTAAGGTTCGGGTCGCATGATACTATGTTCGCAAAAGCAGAGTACGTAGTACTAAAACAGAGCACAATTTCAATTCAAGCATATATGACATTTTTCAAGCATCCAAACAATTCCTTGCAATATTATGGTAATTATTGTGACAAATTGGACAAGAATTGCTAGCAAAGACATCAAGAACAAGCCACATTGTTTTCTCAACCTCAAGAGGTCTAACAATGGTGAATTGTTCGTTTCTCCACCAAATTGAGTCAAACAAGTCTCAAAATACTCCCAAGGCAATATACAAACATAATCAAACAATTTCATGGCATAAAATTTGACAAACAAAGCGAATTAAGCAAAAAGAAGGTTCGAATTTTTCAAAAATTTGTAAACAAAAACACATAAATTTAGCAAAAACCGGGGTGAGTTTGAAGAAAACTTACATAGATCAGGAAAGTAGATGAATAAAGCTTCAATTTGCAACAATTTTTAGCAAATTTGGTAGAGAAACGGGAAAGTTAGAGCAATTCGAATTCCGCAGCCATTTTCGAAGAAAGAAGAGCAGCAGCGGCGAAATGAAGAAGAAAAGGAAATTTACACGAAATCCTGATTGTGGCGCCAAACGACAGGTTTGTCTCCAGGCGACAGAGTTCAGCGTTTGGTGACAGAGCCAAATCTTGGCGCCAGTGACTTTTCAGCGGTGACACAACTCTCAACCATGAAGAACGGTTATTTTTACCGCGTACAGTAATTTTGGGTTCCTTGGTACGCCAGTTAGCCCCTATAATTAATTTGACATGATTTAGTAATCTGCTAGGTTATTATCGCATTAAGTGATCGACCTGATAAATGATCGTCTCACTTGGCTTAAAGCGCCTAAACATTGGCTCATTGCAAAGGCACCGACATAATGGTTCATACACATGCAAAGGCACCGACATAATGGTTCATACATACAGCAAAGGCACCGACATACTGGTTCACAATTCAGAAGCACCGACATACTAGTTCACAAGCAACAAAAGCGTCGATGCACAGGCATAGCAAAGCAAAGGATCGACAGGTGTTGGTATTCGGTAAAACTCTTCAGGGTATTATCGCAACAAATGAGGATCGTTTCAGGCAAAGCAATCTTTGATCATGTTCCCTGGCTTGCAGAAGATGGTTACAAAGCGCTAGAAGGTCGTTGTAGGCGAAGCAATCTTCGATGGGGTTCTCTAGCTTGTAGAAGTCTATCGCGGCGGAATGGGAGGCAGTTACAGGCGTAACAGTCTTCAGGCGGTATTCTCTATCTTGCGGAAGATCATCAAAACAAACACTGAGATGGCGTTCCCTAGCTTGTGGAAGGTTGTCACAACAGTAAATGCAACACAAATTAGTTACCTATAGAGACGTGTGCTCGACGGTGCAAGATACGCGTTTCTTAACTCTTTTATCTGTTTAAATAATGCTAGTTTTGTAGGTATCGGCATTACAAGAATGATTTAGGATCGCAGAACGTTCTGAATAATTCTCCGTCCCTATCGCTACTTTGACTTTTGTTTTCGAAACTCGTGTTTCTCCAAACTCAGTCAAAGTGGGGGCTTCTGTAGACACTCATTTGTGTCTCCCCAAAACCAAACCTAGTGATGTGTACCTTCCACGTCGAATCATAATCAAATGAAGTGAATGTGTGGAAAGTCTAGTGTTGCGGTTAATTTTTATTTCTTTTCTTTCTCTCTGTTTTTGAAAACCTATTTTAAGAAAACAACCAATCCAATTTGGTTTGGTCCATAGCAAGGGTCCAATAATAGTGTAGTTGGGTCGGGTTCAAAAAAAGCTTTCCAACGATATATTATAAGCCTAATTCCAATGAATAATGAGGAAGTTATGGTCAAATTACTAAAATGGGCCCGGTTTGATATTTATGTGCGGCCCAATGATCTAAAGGAGGGCCTAATATTGATTTATCATTTCAAATGCGATTAGGATTGATTATAGTCTTCTAGAATCTTCTAGAAGGTTCTTTTGAATCCTAATTTAATTAGCATTGATAAATTGACTTTAGTTGACTTTTAAGAGTTTTAATCAAAATAAAACAAGTTTTTTTTAAGGAAAATACAATTTTGCCCTCTCGTATGCTTAAATTTTATCAAAATAAGAAAACGCGTGAAAAATTATTTCTAGTGCCATACGACAGCTTTGTCACCTGGCGACAAGCGCAGCGTCTAGCGATAGATCTGTCGTCTGGCGACAGGCGCGTGTCTGCTGCTGCGGTCGTGTTTTATACTTTTTGAAACTCTTATTAATTACTTATCATATCCGGCTAATTTTCTCTATAAATAGCCTCCTAAAACCTTTGTTTTCAATCACCAATTCTCATTAAGAATCTTTTTATTACTCTCTCTCTCTTTTCTAAACTAGCCTTTTGCACACAAAATTCCGCATTCACAAGGTCTAGAAACACCTAGCCAAATTCAAAGTTGCCTTCTCCCTAGACGTGAAAGGTTTTAATTTCTGAGGGTTTGGTCACAAATCTCTATTTCAATTATTTAATTTAATTATTTTATTATTATTTTCTTTGAAGTTACTAACGCGTGTATTTTGTTATTAGAAAGAGGTACGAGGCATCCAAGTAAGTGCTTTAATTGTTAGCATTGTTATTATGATATAGAAATCATGTCTAGGTTGTTATTATGATTCCTAGTGTCATGTTAGTGTGTTTTGATCTTCCTAGTATCATATTTAGGGTAAAATTTCTAATATGAAATATGACAATTGTGATTCCCGCGATGCTTCTTATTCTCTTCCTAATATTCATGTTAGTATCATCTTAGGGTTAAAGCTTTGATTTTTATTGCTTAGTGACATGCTAGGGTTTGTTATTAATCTTGTTAGTATCATGCCTAGGATCTTGGTATTATTATTCTTTAACATGATTGTTTTAATTATGATAAATATAGTTATAATAATTATGATTGTTATTTCAATTATGATTATAATTGTTATAATTTTATGATAATTATTATGATTATTATGTTGCTTGATATATATTTATTGCTATTGCTTGATCACACATTTTATGCATGTTTAAAGGGAATTGGTACTTGTAATCACGCTTAATAAGATAATTAATAATCTTGTTTAGGGTTAATTTGATTATAATTCAAGTGATCGCCAATAATAGATTTATTTGTGCATTAATATTCAAGAAACATAGATTAAACAGATTTAGGGTAATCCTATTGATTGCATGTTAGTCACAAAGCACACATGAATACCATCAGAATAAAGTAGAGGCTTATTATTAGGGCAGGTTCTTTCTTTTTTAGATTGAATTTGTACCTTCATCCCCGAACTACCAGTCATGGTTCCAGACCTATTGGAGTTAACAATCTCCTGGATCGTTAAGGGGTGTAACCTTCACCCTGTGAACGGTTTACAAGTTCCAAAAACTTGTTGGCGACTCTTTTGCTCTATCTTCCTTCCTTTTGGACGCCACCGTACTTTAGTGTATGATCACAGTGGGGTTCAAGTTTGGGCTAATGCTTGAAATATTCCCTACAGGTCCCAAAAATTCATACCTAAGGTGTGATGGAAGTGGTTTGAGCTTAACCATTGGTACACCTTTACCTTCCTTTGAAGTGGCAGCTTTCAAAGCTTCTTGGCTTGAAATATTCATGCACATATGCTCATCCACTTCCTCGATGTTTCCATTTAGCAAGTCCTCATACATTGCCATTTCCTTGATAGGAGCACCTATCTTATCCTTATTCAACAAGACATTCTCAAGAGGATCATTAGAAGTGAGCAAGTGCTCATGCATGGAAGATACAACAAGATTAAGAGAATCAATCAACATGCAATTTTCTAAAGAAGAACATAGATACTTAATGCTTTCATTCAAGTCAAATTCCATAACCTTATCTCTTACCTTAAGGGAAATTTTTGCACTCTTCACATCAATCATGGCACCCGAGGTAGCAAGAATACCAAGAATAATAGGAATGGTAGCATCTTCATCCATTTTAAGAACCACAAAATCCACCGAAATCACAAACTTCCCTACTCTCAAAGGAACATCCTCCATCTTACCCTTAGGAAATTTGATTGACCTATCGACTAATTGTAAGTTAATTTTTGAAGGCAAAAGTTCACCTAACTCAAGTCTTTGATAAACCGAATATGGAATTAGGCTAGCACTATCCCCTAAGTCGCATAAGGCATTATCAATTTGCATCTTGTAAATGGCACAAGGGATAGAGAAGTTTCCGGGATCTTTCAACTTGGGTGGCATCTTGTTCTTTATAATTGCCTTACAATTCTCGGTTAAGTTGACCGTCTCCATAACATCACAAGTCCTCCTACCACTCAAAATGTCTTTGAGGAATTTTGCATAGTTGGGCATTTGGGTGACAACTTCGGTAAATGGTAGAGAAAGATGAAGTTGCTTAAGTTAATAAATCTTCAAAATTGTTCATCAACCTAATGTCTCATGAATTTTTGTGGATATGGGAGATTGGGTTTCAAAATTTCTTTCTCCAATTTTACCTCTCTAGGTGTCTCAATCACAACATCACTCAAAGATGCACCATCTCTTCCTTGGGGATCTCCTTAGTTTCACTCTTCCTAGGCAAACTCTCCTCAAGAACCTTACCACTCCTTGTAAAATTAGCATTCACGGGTCTCTTGGGATCTAAGCCTTGGGAAGGTAAAAAATAAGGACTAGCATGGTCTTTCAAAGCATTGACAAGTTGAGAAATTTGGTTTTCAAGCATCTTATTATGAGTCATCATCTCATTGAATTTCTTGTCACTTAGGGCCAAGTAAGTGTTCAACAACTTTATTTGATTTTCAATGATTTCCTCCAAATTATTCCTAGAGGAAGAGGATTGTGAATAGGAATTATCACCTTGAGTCTTTGGAGCAAATCCGGGTGGAGGGCCCCTTTGAGCATTATTTTGAAAATTGCCTCTACCTTGATTATTCCAATTACCCCTATTTTGATTTTGACCATAACCTTGATTATGGTTACCACCACCTTGATTATTATTTTCATATCCTTGGTTTTGATTACCATAATTTTGGTTTTGATTTTAGCTATTATAACCTTAATTGTTATAGTTACCTCGAGAACCTTGGTTCCCTTAGTTCCTATAACCACCACCAGGATTATAGTTGTCAAAATTACCTTGGTTTTGGCAATCCTTATTCCATTGACCCCTTTGATTATCAAACCTTTGCACATTATTATTGTTTGACACGTAGTTCACATGTTCACTCTCATTGTTATTAAAATCATTTTTACCCTCTGGAAAAAAGCATGAGGGCAATTACAAGCATCATGATCATATGAACCACATACATCACAAAACAAACATCCACTAGGAATGTTACTAGAAGAAGGAGGGGGATGAGAGTTAGGCCCCTTTCTTTAGAGCTGCTCTACTCTGCTCTGCTGAGCCCTGCTCTACTCAAATCGAATCTGCTCTGCTCTATTTTCAAATAATAATTACTAATAATAATTAATATTCAATAATAATTATTATTTCAATATTCTACTTTTAATTTCAATCAATATTAATGTTTTATTATTATTTTTATGATTAATATTATTGTTGGTATTATAATTATTATTATTATTATTATTATTATTATTATTAATTTTTTTTATTATTATTAATTATTTTGATTATAAATTATTATTATTATTATTATTATTATTATTATTAATTATTATTATTATTATTATTATTATTATTATTATTATTATTGTTGTTGTTGTTGTTGTTGTTGTTGTTGTTGTTGTTGTTGTTGTTGTTGTTGTTAGGAAAATTATTATTATTCCCTACAAATATTTTAAAAGAAACCTAGAAGTATTAAAATTATCATATAGTAGAAGGTAATGAACTTGTAATACTTTATAATTTTATTATTTATAATATCCCACATCATAAATGAATTTGTTTATAAGAGAGTATTAAAATGGGGATCCTAAGAAAACTAAATTACAGATTACAGTTATCATAGTTTTTTGTTATATAGAAAAAAGAGATTTGACTTGTCTTTGTTATAGGGAAGTTTACAAATTTTTTGGTAACGTAAATTGGTTGACTAAATTGAAATGAAAATTATCATTTCATATTTCATATTTCAATATTCCAAACTACTATGGGTAATAATATTAATAATAATAATAATAATTATAATAATAATAATAATAACAACAACAACATTATCAATAGTAGTAGTAGTAGTAGTAGTAGTAGTAGTAGTAGTAGTAGTAGTAGTAGTAGTAGTAGTAGTAGTAGTAGTAATAATAATAATAATAATAATAATAATATTAATAATAACAACAACATTAATAATAGTAAAATTAATAATAGTATTAATAATAACACCATTAATAATAGTATTAATAATAATGTTTAAATCTGCTCTGCTCGGCTCGGCTCTGCTCTGTTCAAAAGAAATCTGCTCTGCTCTGCTCGGCTAAAATTTAATCTGCTCTGCTCTGCTGACCCCTGCTTTGCTCTGCCTGGAAGCTCAAAAGAATAGGGCCTTAGAAGGAGTACCTCTCCCCTTAAATTGGGAGGGAAGACTTGGAGCTTGGGAAGAAGAACTCTCTAATTTTTCCTTGATTGCAATCACTTCCTTCCCCAAGTTTGTCATTTGAGAGAAGAGATTGTTGATTACATTTAGATGATCAACCGAGTACATCGAAGAGCTAATCTTGCTAGTAGAATCTCTCTCACCATCTTGTCAATCTCTATAGTACCTCACAACATCCTCAATGATGTCTACCACTTCTTCTTCCGTCCTATTCATGATATGACCTCCGGCTCCCCCGTCAAGGCATGACTTGCCTTGAGGATTTAGGCCTCCATAGAAAATTTGAATAATTTGATAGGTTAGAATTCCGTGGTGAGGACACTCCCTTTGGTACTCTTTATTTCTCTCCCACGCTTCATAGAGGCTCTCACTTGGTTTTTGTTTGAAACCTTGAATCAAAGCTCTTGCCTCCATCGTTTTCTTTTGTGGATAGAAGCGAGATAGAAATTCTTTTGTAACCTCGTCCCATGTCGTTAGAGAATTTGGCTTAACCTCCTTGTCTAGCCATTCCAAAGCACGCCCAATGAGAGAAAAGAGAAAGAGCTTGAGGCGGATGAATTCTTGGGAAACTCCGTTCACTTTGATAGTATTGCAATATTTTTCGAACTCCTTGAGATAATTTAGTGGGTTCTCATGCTTGGCCCCACTAAATTGTCGCCTCTCTATCAAAGTGATCATATCCGGTTTAATTTCAAAATCATTTGTCGGTGTTGTAGGTGGAGCAATTCCACTCTCAAATCTATATGCACCGGGGATCCCCAATTCTTTCAATGCCACTCTAGGATTCTCTCCCATTCTTTCTTGTTCTCTAGTTGTGGTTCTTCCTCACTTGAAATGCTAGAACTCAAAGTCCGCCTAGCAACCCTTAATCTTGTAATAGTCCTCTCAATCTCCGGATTAAATGGCACTAGTGAATGACCACATGCTATATGCATACAACTTCAAGATGATTAGTAGCACAGCTACAAGTGTAGCCTAAAAGAGAAAAATATTTTTTTTAGAATGAAATAGTTTCAACAACTATAACAAAGCACCAACGTCATTCTCCGACAACGGCGCCATTTTGACAAGAGGAAAACTAGGTCGTTATCTAATCCTCTCTTGGTGAAACTAAATTTATAAACACTTAACAAACCTTATACAAGTATGCGGTAAGTCAAGGGTCAAACCCAAAGGAATGAATAGGAACTATGCTATAGTTTATTGTCCAGCTAAATCGAAGAGCATCAATTGTTGTGGTTGGTAACTAAAATGTCAAGAAGATAGACAAATCAAGGAATTCAATCAATATGCTAAACACTAGGGATATAGGTTCCACATGTAAGCTCAATGATTATGCTAATTGATAGATCACTCAATTGATTTAAACATTAAAAGGGAAAAACAATAGTTGAAATCAAAGGAATCTAAAGGTTATCTCCTTTAACCAAAGTTAGGGTTCACTATGAATGGCTAACAAGGAGAACCCCAATCAAATTCAATCAATTAAACCAATTCTCAAATCAAGGGTTCATGTCATTGAAATTTGCAATGCAATCTAGATTAATCTTATAGGTTGATCACTCCTAGTCTAATTATTTACATGCCTAACTATGTCAACCAATTTAATTGCAACAATTCAATCAATCAATGATCATCAACTAGCAAAAATCATTAATCAATCATACTTCCTCTTCTCCCTAGCAACTAATCTACTCACTAATCATGGTGAAATTGAAAGACAAAACAAATTCAATCACAAACATATTCATTTCAAGCTAAATCAAAAGGAAAATCAATCAATCTAAAAATTCTCAAACCTAAATCAAAAATTCAAATCAAACATTCAAGCACTAAAGAAAATTTCAATTGAAGTAAATTCAAAGGGAAGAAATCTCACAAACTTTTATTCATATGAAGAAGAAATCCAAACTTTATTGAAGCAATATTGTAATACAAATCAAAATCCAAGAATTTTAATCTCTACTTTCTCTCTAACTTCTCTCTAGTTTCTCTCTCTAAAAACTAAGTAAATGAAATATTATCTAAAAGTTAGCCTTCAAAAGGAATTACAAGAGTATTTATAGACAAAGAAGAAAAACTGATCGGTCGCGCCCTCTCCAAGAATATCTCGCGGGCGCGGAGAAATGGGTACGGAACCCATAACGAACTCCGCGGGAAATCAGGGCAAGACTCGCGCCCGCAGGTACTCTATCCCGCGCCCGCGAGTAAGGGCATGGAAGATGCCCTGTTCCCAAGTGTAAACAGGGGGCCGCAGTCTCTCCAAAGAAAGCGGTCTCTCCAAAATCTCCGCGCCTGCGGCTAGGGCGCGGAGAGTTCCTGCCAAAAATCCTTAATTTCCTGCACTATATCCATGTTCGCGACCCTTAGGTCCCGCGCCCGCGACATTTGGAAAATGTTGAGCGCCCTCTCCATGCCCTCTCCAAGCCCTCTTCAAGGAGCTTGCTTCTTCTTTGCTTAGCCCTTTTTTCTCTTCTTGACCCCTTTGCAAAGCTAACTCCTTAAGAACCTACAAAAGTAACCAAAGAGAGAAAATAAAAGAGAAAAAGAACCATATAAAAGGCAAACAAGAAGAAAACCACATAAAGGAAAGTAAAACACGAAGAAAAAAGAAATAGAGAAACTAAAGGAGAAAATACCTAAATGATAAAAGAAAACCATGAAAAATAGGGTGAAAACATCCTAAAAGACTACCTTATGAGTTCCATAAATGACATTCATCAATTATAACAGCCTGGGTTGTCTCAATTGTTGACTTGATGATGAAAGTAATTGGTAACTTAGGCACGAAGGCTAAGCACTTCATACTTTTTGATGTGATGATGATGTTTTATTTCGATATGACAAAGTGTACTTCAATGTTGTGTTAAGATTTCATGACAAAAGGTTCCTAAGAGGAAGATTATTTGTCTATGTATCTGTGATGTGTGTGAAAGTGACACTAAAGCTAGGCTACAAAGACTAAGTGTACGGAAATATATATATATATATATATATATATATATATATATATATATATTTGAAATGAGTCAAATAATGGTGACTCTTAGGCTAGGCAAGCTGATAATGTAGGGATCAAGCGCCCAAGTCTTGCTCTAAATGAATAGGGATGAGAATTGGAGATGCCTTGATATGATCATGTATGAATGTAAATATGAATGAAATTTTTATTATAGCTGCACCTTGTTGTGAGGTTACCTGCGTATCCGTTAGGAATCAGGCCAAACGTAGCTCTAGCCGAACCTTCCAAAAGTGTGTGTATACCTCAAAGAGGTCTTTTAAGGGTTGTAGCGTGGTTAGGCTAAAGGTTAAAGAAGAAGGGGATAAAGGCTCAAGACCCTAGATAAGCCCCCAAGGTGTATGTGCAACCTTGCTTTTGACATTTATAGATTTTTATGCTTGAGGTTTCTCATTTTTGGACTCTCTTTTGTTTATATTTTTGCTCTCCTTTTTTTTCTTTCTTTTTTTTGTGCTTTTGCATTTTTGTATTGTGATCCTTTTTTTATAAGTGTGGGCAATCCCTATCATGCGGTCTATCACTCACTTGGCATTCATGTTTCTCTGGCACGGAACTTAGCACTCGATAAGAGACGCAATATGAGATGTGTTCATATCAAAGATATATTCATATCAAAGACATTGGAACACTTGCCTTTTTGCACACTTTTATTAATATTTTATTCTTTTGAAATTTTTATAAAATCATTAAAGCTTTTATTCTTTGAAAATGTCCAGCGCTAGATGACAACATTGTTGCCAGGCGCTAAACACTATCATGTTGCGCCACAGTCCAAACCTTTGCGCCATTGTTGGGACATTCGCCTGGGACTGTTTCCAGTATCTTACTCTAAAGGGACAAGCCTATTGTCGTACTAAGTTAGGTTTGATCAATTTATTTAGACCTAATTATTTATATTAAGTAATTAATTAAGAAAATTCCTTTAGTCATTAATTAGCTTATTTAGACTCAATCAATAGTCAAACAAACGGTTAGTGTACACACATATAGGTTATGCACAAGCAACGAATGCACAAGTAGTCAAGTGAGCACAATATGATGCAATGCGTTTGCAGCCTAACTATGGCTCTAGTTCCTCTAAAGTTCAAGGATATAGGTTTTTCTAAGAGGCCCTGCAAGTTAAACTTACTTCCACGGTTTGGTGAATTCGTAAACTCGGATGTATACGTCGTTGCCAAGAGCGTTCAATTGGGTAGATGGAGCGTGAAACCCCAGAGGTTTATGACCATATGTAGAACACATATGGGTTCATAAAAGAGAAAAAAAACTCAATTAGGAAGTTAAACCGAGCAAACAGTACTAGAAGTGTTCGAAATAAGAAGGTAGATTTCTAGCTCGGTATTGGAAAAACTCGACGCGAGACTATAGTGCATGTCGCCAGACTATGACTCTGTCCCCGAACGACAGTTATTGTCGCCAAGCGAGATAGCCATTGCATTGCGATGGAAGTGTTTTCTCAGGGCCAGTTCCTACATGCCTTAGCAGCTTTCTGTTCTTGAATTTTCTAGTTTTTCACAGCGTTATTTCGATTCTAGTTGTGAAAGATATTTTCCTAATTTCCTACGTGTAAAAATCATATGTTTTTGACGCATTACGGATGGTTTTTCCAATGCGGACCTTTTTATGCATATGTCAATAATTTCGATCCAATTTACGAACATGAAATACTTAGAACTTTTCGAGTCTCATCCACTCATTCTAAATTATTGCCAAAATACATTTCAGGAATTAAAATACAGATCTTTCCTAGTGGAGTGGCCAAAAAAATGTAGGAAATATTTCAAGCATCCCACACTTGAGCCCCATTGTGATCATACACTTAAGCATGGTGGCATCCAAAGGGAAGGAAGCTAGAGTAAAAGAGTCGCCAACAAGTTTTAGGAACTTGTAAACCGTTCACAAGGTGAAGGTTACACCTCTTCACGATCCATGAGATCGCTAACTCCATAGTGGTCTTGAACCATGACTGGATATTCGGGGATGAAGGTACAAATCCAACCTAAAAGGGATTGAACCTGCCCTAAAAATAGGCCTCTACTTTATTCGTCTCATATTCATGTGCGCTTTCTAACTAACATATAATCAATAGGTTAACCCTAAACCTGTTTAATCTGTGTTGGTTGAATATTAATGCACAAGCAAACCAATTATTGGCGATCACTTGAATTATAATCATATTAGCCTAAACAAGATTATTAATTATTATATTAAGTGCGATTACAAGTACAAATTCTATTTAAATATGCATAAAAGTCGTGACCAAGCAATAATATATATCAAGCAACATAATATTAACAACAATGATCATATCAATCATCATAATAACCATGTTAACAATAAAGGGTACTATTAATTGTAAGATCCTTGGCATGATACTAACATGTCACTAAATATTAAAAATTAAAGCTTTAACCCTAATATGATACTAACATGATATTAAAAAACATTGAAAGCACCCTAAACATGATACTAGAAAGCATTAAAGCACATCCTAACATGATAATAGGAAGAATTAAAGAACATCCCACTAGTACAAAATTGGGCTTAAGTAACACCCATTGGTAACACTTTAAAAATATTAGGATGATTTGATTTTTACGTAACACTTATATAACATTGTCGAATTAAGTAACATTTTTTTTAACACATTAATATTATGTAACACTTTGATATTAGGTATCACTTAGTTGTAACACTTAATTTGATGTTACTCGATTCTTTAATTTTCTAATTAAATATTTATTTTTTTCTAATCTCATTGTAGAAAAAACTGATCCGTGCACTTTATTTTAATTGTTTAATATTTCATTCTAATTTATCTCCTCCTCTCATTCTCGCTCAAATATTTGTTCTCTCTGAATGAGTTTAGATTCTTTAATCCATCGAGTCACCTTCATCATCATCCTCTGAATCATCATCATCATCAATACCATCATCTAAATCACAATCAACATCATCAAATGAATCGAGAGTGAAGGAATCATAACATTTGGTACTACTATGGAGTTCATTAATTCATTATTACATTAAGGTTTATGTTCATCTGCATAATTTCTCTCACCTATACGTTCATATTCTTCGCTTTACTCTTCTCCAATCTCTATATTCCTCCTATTTCTATTCCTTCTTAATGAAAAATCATTTCCACTAGTAAGTTTTTACTTCCCTCCCTCTTCTTTTTTCTCTAATTTAAGGTTTTCATGATGTTTTTTTAGTGATTTTAGCTTTACTTTGTGTATGAGTGTGTACAATTCTTCCTCAATTTTCTTTAATTAGGTTATCTTTTAGTTGCTAGGTATTTGCTAAAATCTAAAGTTTTAGTGATTTTAGCTTGATGTAGTCAGTTAATTATGTGTATAATTCATTCTCATGTTTAAAATTTCTGTAATATAGATGTATACTACTAGTTAGAATTTGGATTGATTGTGAAATTGCTGAAAATGGTTTAACTATGTTTTTAGAAATTATGATATTGGGAATTCAGCTATTGTGGAGTTTCAAATTGGCTTGATTTTTTCAATTGGGGTGGTGTTGGTGCTTATGGGAAGTTAAGCCCATGTTCTATTCACATTGTAAGTTGACTAAGTTCAATTCAAGGCTGATAAGTTTGGATACATAAGTTCAATTGAGGACTTATACGAGTAGAGAAGTTAATTAATGGACAAGTTTATTCCGAAAAGGACCAATTCCGGGCAAAATAGTTAATATAAGCTCAAGAATTTTCTGTTAAAAAAAATCTAGGTTGATTAATTTTTTCATTACTGAAAATCTAATTGGAAGGTTTAGGAAAATACTTGGTTGTGACAATTATCGCTAACGCATTTTGAACCATGATTGTGTATAAATTAGCCATTTAAAGATGCATGCGATTGGATGGGAGTTTTAATATATATAATGGTTTGGGTGCCTGCTACTATGAAGTAATTGACAATAATATCTTTTTTTTTTTTTAGTCATTGCTTGTATATTGCTGCTTGTTTGCATATCGAGACTGATAAGTAGTTGAAACATTGGTTATATAGTATAAGTCAAAATAAACTCTAATGATGACAAAATATATAAACTATTCTATTTGAAAGGTCCGTAAAACCTATCCATTAGTTGATTATATTGCATAAAGGTGTCCAGCAACTTGTCATTAACCTAGCTATTGTTTAAAAAGCTTATGAAAGTCATACTTATTTTAGGTACTACAAGAACTCAAGATACTCTGTGAGTAAAATAGTATATACTATTTTATTTTTTTGTAAAATCTTCCATTAATTTAATTTCTTATCTAATTTTGTAGAATTTAGAGTATTATTGCTTTTATTTTGTCTATGTGTGGTCATTTATAGATATTATCAAGTCACTTCTGCATATTTTCTTAAACAAGTTATTATATAAAGTAGCTTATGCCATGATTGTGAATTAAATTGGGTTTTGAAGGAAGTCCATTAATGGTGATTGTCGAATTAACTCTACTTAATTGAATCAAAACAATATGATTGTAGTAGTATTCTTGGGAGTGAATTCAATAAAAGTGAATTTATTTTGGTGAACTTTAAATACTCTTTATCAAATTGCAGTGACAGTATATAAAAACAAATCAAAGTAAGTTTTCTAAAAGAGTACTCCGTATTATATAAAAAAAATCCTTGGGAGGAGGAATTAGGAAACTGCTATAGGAAGCCATGCTTTCAGCCTTTTACAATGTCCACGGTCAAGTTAGAGTGGGGTCAAGAATTTCAAATCTGGCTACTCTCTTTGGCTGACTTCTGTCTCCAATTCTCCATTAATAGAATTAGGGACTTAGGGGTAGGGCTTTGTACATCTATTTAACACATTCTCCAACAAGAAGCTACAATATAGATGTAACTGACATTGCTGTTGTGTTGATTTGCCTTTAATATATGCATTTTTTAGCCTTTTATTGTTTGAGATTTTATATCTTTTTTTCCTTTCTAACATTGCATTGCATTCATAGAATCTTTTTACTTTTAATTTAAATTACCTAGAGTAAGTATCTCTTTTTATATGTGAACATGATCTATGTTGTACATTTTTAATGAAAACAATGATGCAGAGAAGGGAGGAAATGTATCAGAAGTAGAAGCGTCTCATCATAAAGACAGGAAGGGACCTCAAAACCATTAACGAATAAAACTAGCAAAGCTAAAAGGCGCACTTTACAGGAGGTCACAGGGGTGCCAAATCTACATAAAAGGTTCAGACTTTGTCATTCATATGTGTGTGTGTTTGTGAGTTGGGGAAGAGGTTAGTCATTAGTTTGAATTGTTGTCAACTATCATGCTTAATGCAAATGTATGGATATACTATCAACAACTTGAGGAGCAACGAACAAACACAAAGTTTGATTGATCACAGAATTAAGGTATGAGTGGCTAACCTATGCAGTGTGGAGACCTGGTGTTAGACCACCTATTCTTTCAGCATCATTGCTGAATCCAGGTTCCCTTTCGCTAATGCTAAAATGGATCCAAGGATTAGATCAGGATACCTATTTTCCTAGACTTCTTGGTTTCGGGGTAAGTTAATGCTTTCATTCTTTATTGTTTTCTTATGTGATTTTGACAAACTGTCATTGTAGTGTTTTACTTTTCTATTTGAACTTGTGTTATTTTTTTGTAAGTTAGTGGTTAAATTTAGTTTTATACGATAGAGCACCTCTATTTTGCAAGTTGATTTGATTTGAGGTTTGATGTTATACTGGCAGTTGAATACCCATGAGTTGTTGAATGTTCTGAGGGTCATTCTTATTTTCATTAGGACCCAAATTACAATTAGCTAACTATTGCAATACCCTTTCTAGTAAGAATTTTTAAATTAATCTAGACTTTGTTTTATGTGCAGTCAGGTGCTGAGGTTCTCTTTTTGTGCTCAAGGTACTCAAATTTCCAGTTAGGTGCTCTTTCTTCATTTCTGTCTCTCTCATTTTTTCTTTTTTGGCTTATATTGAAATCAATGTGTAAAATACATTAATGCCTTGGAATCTTAGGGTGGTTGGTTTGTATGTGCTAGTTTTTAATCTTATTTAATTTGTACCCTTTCAACTATGATTCTACCATGATAACTTTTTTTTTTTTATATCTATTATGCAAAATTTCATGCAAAATCTTCCTATTGTGTATATAACTCAAGACTCTCTGCCAATTTCCCACCACTATCACCATTTCTTTCCCTTTCAACATTCTGTCTTCTATATTGAGCTACAAGAATAATGGAATTCAGAAATGAAATCAGAGCTAAAATTCATAATTGAATTCAGAGTTGAATTTCAAAACTAAAATCAAGACCTAAAATAAGAGTTGAAATTCAGAATTGAATTCAGAGCTGAATTTTAGAACTGAAGTCAGGGTTGGAATTCAGAACTGAATTTAGAGTTGAAATCAGAGCGTAAATTTAGAAATGAATTCAGAACTAAAATCAGAGCTGAAATTCAGAACTGAATTCAAAGCTAAAATTCAAAACTAAAATCAGAGTTGAAATTCACAACTAAATTCAGAGCTGAATTCAGAACTAAAATCTGCAAAGGGGAGTTTGTGTTTCATATCGTCTTCATCTATTATACGTGTTGTGAGAATAATGATATCTTTTACTTAGATGCATATATTCAATACTCTGCTAGTTGTCTGACACCCAAAAAACCTATTTGTCATCAATGATGTTCGCCGACTAACTATCTTGTATGTTCTTTGTAAGAAGCAAGATCCATATGGTAGATTATGAGAAAGCTAGACAAACAAGGATAGAACAAAATAGAAGCAGTTGGGGATATGTTCACTAAGGGGGAAGAGCAACAAACCAATAATTCTTGATGATTTCTTAAAGCCCTATAAATACTAAATTGTGAAAGAAACTGTAGCAGAACTAATGAAGAAACTCAAGCAAATTGATCTAGAAGTGTTGGATACTTTGACTCGATCACTTGAAAATGTGTCATCCAATCCAGAACATATAGATCATATTCCCATTGTACACTATTGAACAGCAACGACATGAGGTAATGGTTAATATATAATCTTTTAAAAAGCAATAACTCTTATCATTGCGTTATTTCATTTTTGTTCTAGTTGTTTGATATATGATGCTTTCACACATAGGATCAATTGGATCAAGATGAAGAATTGGTATAGCAATTTATGATGCTACAAGAACATACTTTTACCGTTGTTTTGCTGCTGTTACCGCTATTTTGCTGCTGTTTTAAGCTATTTTGCTATTGTCTTTTGCTGAAATTGCTGCTACTGTTGTCTGATCTATTGCTAACTATTGCTCATTTGATTTGCTGCCACTGCTCTGCTACTACTAGTTGCTGCCAACTGATGTCTGCTACTGCTGGAAGCTTCCACTACTATCTGGTATTGTTGGTTGCTGCTAAAGACTGCTGATGGCATCATTTGTTACCGCTTTTACCGTTCTAGTAGCTAGCAGCGTAGCTGTTGCTATACACTGTTATTATTAATGCTCTTTACTGTTATTGCTGTCTTTTTTTGTTTGAAATTTGGAAGTTTTTTGTTTTTCCTTACTTTTCCCAAGCTAGAGATCGAACTTAATATTCTTTGTGTTTGGATTATTATATTATTTGGCCAAAAAAATTAAAATTGGTGTTTATAGATTTTTTTTCGTCAAAATTATGAAAGTATTTCAATCCAAATTGTTTTCTATCATATGTGTTGATTTCTTACTCATATAGTTGTTGTACATATGATTTTTTTTCTTATATTTTAAATAAATATAGTAAATAATAATAATAATGATAATAATAAGAATAATAATAATTATTATTATAATAATAATAATAATAATAATAATCATTATAATAATAACAATAATAATAATAATAATAATAATCATTATAATAATAACAATAACAATAATAATAATAATAATAATAATAATAATAATAATAATAATAATAATAACAATAATAATAATAAATGTTACCTAATAATTAACAAAGTGTTAAATTAGTTCAAAAATTGATACATAATGTCGGATAAAGTGATAATATATGATTGAAAAATGTCACCAAAGATAAGTAAGTGTTACATAAGAAATAAAAAGTAACACTTTAAAAATGATACTAATAATGTAAAAAGTGATACATAAAAGGGTTTATAATAACACTTTTAAAAGTGTTACCATACGTTACCCAAAGCGTTACATAAGACCTACAGTAACAGGGGCATATGTATTACCCAATAAAGTGTTACCTATATATTGTCTATAATAACACTTTTACCACCTTATGTAACACTTTTTGGGTGTTACTTGAGGTTAGTTTTGTATTAGTGTCCTAAAATGATACTAGGAATTAAATAATCTAAATATGCTTTCTACATCGAAATAATAAATAAGTAATTAAATTACTTACTTTGATGCCTCGTACCTCTTTCTAATAATAAAATAAAGGTGTTAGTAACTTCAAGGAAAAAAATAATTCAAACAATTAATTTAAATAATTAAAATAGAGATTTGGGACCAAACCCTCAGAAATTATCAACCTTTCACGTCTATGGCGAAGGCAACTTCGAACTTGGCTAGGTGTGTTTAGAACTCGTGAATGTGGAATTTTTTAAAAGGGAAAGGTTTAGAAAGAGGGACAAAGAATAAGCTTCAGCTTTTAGAGAGAGAAGGGGTAGAGAATTCTGGGTCCCTTGAAAACGGAGGCCAAGGATTCTATTTATAGAAAAATAGTCCAGAAACCGATATAAAAGAAATCAAGTTCCATTCGGAATAAAAAAACCTCTTGTCGCAAACGACAGGAGCCAGCGCCAGTCGATAGGAACCATATAGGAACCAGCGCCAAGCGAAAGGAGCCATGTGGACCAATTAGAGAAGGCCACGTGTCAAGCATAGGAAGGTCCGTCTAGGACAATTGCCACCTGACACGTGTCAACCTCACATGCTATCTAGAGTTGCGGCCTTCAAGGCCCAATTCCCAAGAACGCCGCAAAACGGCGCATCCCACTAAATCTAGGACAAGTAACCTAAGAGGGGCACGTTCCCCAATGACCCTATAAATAGGGAGATATCCCCCAATCTTGGGACATTCAACCATTTATTACACCTACCTTACATTCTCTCACATTAGAGAACTCTGAATCTCGGAATCCTAAAATATCTCATTTCATTTTCCGTATCTTTTCCTACTCACTTTCAAGTACTAACTTGACCGTCGGAGGTGGAGCTCCAGCCACCCGGAGTCTCCGTTGTTTTGCAGGTAGAGGCCGTGAGCAACCAGTCTTTGAGCTTTGTTTGCGATCGATAAACTTGACAAGCCATCCAAAAAGAAAAAGAGGGAATTCTAACAGTATGTCTCACGGTATGAATTCAATAAAGACTGTTACACCATCTTTACAAAGGTGAAGAACCGACTGGCTATTGAGAAGCCGAATCCTATGAAGAGTTCCGTTCAGTCGTGAAACAAGAATAAATTCTTTCACTTCCATGAGGAAGTGGGCCATGACACCAACAACTTGAAAGGAATGGTGTCCTTCGAACAAGTGTATTATTCTAATAGCGGGTTCAGAATTATTAGAAAGTTAATATATTCAGTAAGGTCAAGTGATCGGAATGCCTGGGTGGAGGCCGCTTCCGATCAGTAATACTAATATAATTAATATTACAGCTTAATCTTGACTGACCCCTTCGGGTCACACCCAAGCAAAATATACGAACCGACTCGATTAATTAATTCGGAAGAAATTAATTCGTCGCCCGAGTGTTAAATATTTAGACGTCGGTAATTTGAGCTTGGAGCGTCGAAACCGATCGTCGGAAGTCGAGTCAAAAATAATAAAAAGACGAGACGCGCAAAATAATAATAAATCGACCATATTCCCAAAATACCCCTAGCATCGGAAGGCCCCGAGCATCCGAATGCTAGGGGCAAAAATGTCCAAGCATAGGTGGTTAGCAAGTGCACCAAGCCGAGCCTAGCATGGCTGGCTAGGTGCGTGCTAGCGCACCGTGCTAGCAGCCGCGTGCACGTGGTGCGTGTAGCAGCTAGCTGCCGCAAGCTAGGCGTGCTAGCAACGCACGCACTAGCAGCCACGCACAGCAGCAAGCCCGCACCAAGTGCGTGGCTTGTGCGCACAGCAGCAGCCCGCATCTTGGTGCGGGGCTGGGCTCGGGCTGGGCTCGTGGTTGGGCCATAGGGCCGGTCACTATGGGGAAGCTTGAGGAATATGGGAGCAAGTGGGTAAGGACATGTGGCACAAGGAGAGTATTGAGTGGGGAGCAAGTATGGTCCCCTACTCTTTATGTGGTCCTCACCAACCCATTTCACATGGTAATGCCACTTGTAGATTTATTATTAGTTTGCAATTTTAATTTAATTTAGCTTTAAATTAATTTGTGGAATTTCATGATCCCACATTGATGGGATAGAAATTCCCACTCATACTTTCCTCTATAAATACCAACCTTGGGATTTGGAGTAAAGTGCTTGAGTGGGAGTTAGAAAGAGCATTCCATATTTTGGGAAAAACTCTTAAACTCCATTAACACTTGGGTTTTGGTTGGACCTTGCTAACTCCAAGGTAGCGGACCTAAAAAGTCGTGTTCGTCCTTTGTGGGTAGATACCGTTGGAGGCACGGCATTTGCGGTGCTCAAGGCTTTCAAGTAAGAGCCCGTTTTGAGAGGGCGAAGCTCGCTTCAAGGGTATGATTTGTTCTTCCTTTTTCTTGTGTTTATTTATTTATGCTTTATGGTTTTATTAATTACGAGTGGTTCCTTGGGTCGGGGTTGTTTCCGCGGTGAGTCAGACTCACCAAACCCTAACACAACTGATATAGTCTCAAGAGAACGTTGGACCGTTTGGCTGACAAAGGCTTATAAGACGAATCCGGGACATTCGTGAAAAACTGTCCAGCCTACTAGTAGCTCGGATACAGACAAGGATCCGGTCTACACTATAGCAGACGGATTCGCATGCGGTGGCCCGACCATTCGGGGCATCAAGGATCATCTGAAGAAGATGATCCATTAAATTGATGATGGACTGGCGTCCTCCAGTAGGACTTTCCCATAAGTTCTCATCACTGAGAAGGATCGGGGCAAATTTCACCGACTACAAGACGACCCAATTGACATTGAATGTAAGATTTCCAACCAGCTAGTTGGCAGGATCCTAATAGACACGGGTAGTAGAAGGGGAAAGGGCGACATATGGTTGTCTGGTTCTTGTTGGTTAAAGAGCTTACCGCCTACAACATTATTCTTGGCCAACCTACTCTAAATGAATACAAGGTCGTCATCATCCCACTCTCATGCTTCGTAAGTATGAAAAGGATGATGTCTCTGTTGGCTCCCGCAACGGGGATCAGAAGACGACAAGGGAATGTTATCTCTCAGATGTTAAACAAACGGTTGCTTCAGCCTGTCAGCCAAAGGAGCCAATAGACCTTGACGATGTTAAGGACCCTGATTCACCCCCTCCAGCCGCAAAGAAGAGAAAATTGATCAGCTGGTGGAGGTGAATAAGGAGAAAAAATAGCAATCAATGACCGAGGAAAGGTCAGATGATCTCCGTCCCTAGCCAGCTGCTGAGCACATTGATATTCCCCTGGACGAGAGTCATTAAGAGCAAACTGTTAAGGTGGGGACGGCTTCCTTTGAAAGGTTAGGTGCAAACTTGCACCTTTTGCTGAAAGAATTTAAAGGCGTCTTTGCCTTTGAAGTAGAAGAGATGCCAAGCATTAGCCCGGATCTGGCGGTCCACAAACTCGTCGTGGATCCAAAAAAGAAGCTCATCTGGCAAAAGAAAGGAAATCATGGCGAGGAAAGAAGTCAGACGGTAGTTTCCAAGGTCAAAAAGTCGTTTGACGCCTGGTTCATTCGGCCATGTAACTTCCCTGATGGGGTTGCGAATGTGGTGCTGGTAAAGAAGCCAAATGGCACCTGGCGCATGTGTGTAGATTACACTGACCTGAACTAGGCATGTCCAAAGGACAGTTACCCGCTTCCAAAGATCGACAGAATGGTCGACTCTACAGCCGGGCATGCTTTGATGATTTTCATGGATGCCTACTTCGGCTTCCACCATATACTGTTGAGGTTTGGCGAATCCTTCTCACCACAGAAACAATCCTAAAAACATGACCTCACTCGCAAAAGATAAAACCATAAACTTAATTAACTTAATTACAAGATTAAGATAATAAGATTACCTTTGGAGCGTGCTTCGCCCGACCGCTTGGGCTCCTACTTGAAAGCTAGCCTTGAAATTACGAAGCCTCCAATGATGATCTACCCACAACAAAGATCATTGACTAGGTCCAATGTCTTGGGGTTACCAAGACCCGACTGATAAAACCCGAGTAATTGAGTTCAAAGGCTTTCACAAAATGTGATACCTTTTTCCAACTCTTGAGTTCAAAGGTTTTCACTATTAGTGATCCCTTTTCTAACTCTTACTCAAGCGTCATTTCCAATGCCCTTACTTGGCTATTTATAGGAAATGATGAGAGTAT